CCAAAGGAGGTTGCTATGAGTCAGAATCGACTCAACGGTAGTGAGTTTGGTATTTAGTTTCTGACGGTTACAAATTTGGCTCTGCAGCTCGGTCACTATAACACCTGTTTTATGAAACAAATGTTTTGTTATCTTAAAACCAGTATCTTAAAGACCTAGCAAAATGAAACTTCTGTGCTTACTTTTGTCCCTGAGTGGTGCAAATGGTTAAGCACTTGACACAAGGGGTTGCCATGAGGTCATTCAACCTGAAGGCAACTGCCACTACCACTGCATACACTTCTGGAATGGGAAGCTGTCTGTCTCCGCCCTGGCTGCTGCTCAGGTGGGTATGCCCATCCCCATTATCTTCTGTGGAAGGGCCAATGCAGCTGCAGAGGATGACTGTGGTCCTCTAGTGCTGTTATAACAGACATTCCAAAATGTAAATGGCTTTGACAAATGGGAGTTTATTCTCTTATAGTTTTGGAGGCTAGAAGTTTGAGTTCAAAGTGCTGGGCTCTAGGGGCTGGGTGAAGGCCCCTCAACCTTGGGCTTTACCTCTGCCTCTTGCTCTCCACGCACTGAAGCTGCAGGATTTTCTTAACTCAGACAGCTACTGACTACTGATGCTGACAAACCCAAGGTCAACAAGTAAATGGCATAGTCCCAACATTATCAAGCACCATGGCAGGTCACTAGTTCAAGCCCAGAAACAGTCTCAAGATTGGCAGACAACATGGCAGGCCACTGAGATGAACACTCAGCTAAATGCAGGATCCAGATATGCCAAAAAGCTAGAGACCGTTCTCAAAGTAGCTTCTTATAGACTGGAAGCAGACCACATTCCCAAGGCAGCTACTCAGCTTCTCACAGTAGATTCCACTATGGAGCTGATTACCAGTTCCATCATGGGGAATAACTATATCCAGCTGCCCAGACACTCAAAACCAGGCCGAGGCAAGTTGACACATAATCTTAACTACCACAATGACTTTCCTTCTTCATTCCTTAGTCAAGAAAGGATAGAGGAAAAAAATCTCCAAAATATCACTTTTTATCTGACCCTATATTGGAATACATCTTTATTAAGTTACTGCTACTATTTATTAGAGAGCTCTGGTGGTGCAGTCCTAAGGCATTTGACTGCTAACCAGAAGGCTGGCGGTTCAAACCCACTGGCCACTTCTCAGAAGGAAGGTTGGGCAATCTACTCCTGTAGTGATACTGCCTTGGAAACCCAAGGAGGGGTTGCTATGAGTTGGATCTGACTCAGTGGCAGCAAGTTTTTTTTTGTACTATTTATTGAATGCTTACCAAGTGTCAGGGAAAAATGCCAAGTACTTTGTATAATGTGATAACACAATGAAGAAGTTGTGATTATCCCCATAGGAACTGACTCAGGGAGCCTAAATGTTTTGCTCAAGGTACAAAGCTTGAAGCTTCAAGTGTGTCTCGTACATGCTGCAATGCAGCCTCTAATGATTTATTCATGGCACGTGAATATCATCACCCTCCTGCTTCCAGTTAAATCTCACTGAGAAGGGAACTGAAGACTCCAAGGATACCTAAGTACATCCTTCCATTTCCCCACGAATTGTTCAGCCTGTCTGAGATAGGTCCAGACATTCCAACTCACTTTTCTATCTTTAAATCAATTTTTCCAAGCACCTACTGTATTAGGCCCAGTCAATATGGCAGTAAATTCACCCTTTATGTCTTATTTTTTCTCAGACACCAACAAGGTGGTATGCTTCATTAAAAAAACTATTCATGATGGACTTCTAAACTAACAATGAACATATGCTGGAAATCTAATAACTCAATCCTTTTGTCCTGTTTCTCATAAGCAGTGAGAAGGGATGGGCAGTTTATCACCAACGCTGACACATTCTTCATTAAAGATGCACATAAACCTTGGTTTAAACTGGTGCTTCACAATCTAGAGCTCCTTTATTACTTTTTTGTGCACAAATCTCAGAAATCGCTATGATGTCAGCAACCAACCAAGAGGGAACGCATTTCTTTCTGTTACTGAAGACAGAGGGAAGACACTGATCACTGGGTTCTGGGGCTCCCAGGTAGGACACTGCTGCCTAATTGGTAACATAACTGCAATGTAGCTATTTAATTGATCTTGAAATGATTGGGTCATGCACTGTGGCCAGAGTTTATTTGCTAATGGCCAGCTTTGCTTCTTTGACCACGAAAGACATGCTTTTCTTGACTCTTTTTCATTGCTCTAGCACCTTCCATTCCTAAGAACCTGGTGGGAGCTGGCACCTTCCCAGACACTGTCCAGCTGGCCTCCCTTGAAAGCTTACCGCCATCTTTAATTGTCGGGCGAGAGAGCTGTTAGGCACATGGCTCATCTCTCTCCCAGGATTCACTCCACTGTAACTATCCAAAGAAGAAGCTTTATTTAATTCTGTGGGAGCACTTCAATTTATGCCCCATTAAAGTTCCCCTTTGAAAGTTACAAGCTGAGGCCACATCTAACAATCATGACGTTCTCTGGATCCCACGCACATCCTAAAAATGGAAAATTCATTTCATGGTCACAGACCAATAAAATATATGACTTCATGAAATGCCCTAATTTTTCTTTTATTTCTGTAACTAAATTAAATGACTTCAGGTGTTTATAAAAAATCTGTTTATAGCATTGTATAAACATTGGACATGCTCTGAAAAGATTCTTTTACCTCATAAGAAATGACAGTTTAGAATGGGGGCCAAAATCTTTTCCTTTCCAGTGAGATTCGCTTTTAGTTTCAAATTTAACTCTAGCCTTTTTTTTTTTTTTTTTAAGTGGCAGGTCAACATCAGGACTCTTAATATTTATGTTCTTGCACATCTTTCCTTAGCCACAGAAAAAACAACTAATACTAGTTTCCTACCTCTAGACTTAGTTCCATAAATGCCCTGTGGGTGTGAGCATCTTGGACGTGTCAGTCCCTACTATATGCCAGGAATGACCAAAGTTCTACAAAAAAGATGATGTAGTCTTATTCCCACTGAAGATCAGGGCCCTAAACTACAAGTAACATCAAATGTATGGCTGAGCTGAGACCACCTTAAGATTGCCTCAAATCCTGACTAGGAGAAATGACCCCTCACTTTTTACCTGGCTTTTGAGGACATCCTTAGGGAACTCTCTGACATGAATACAATGGCTAAGGATGCAAATTCCACCAAGGCTTGCCACAAATCTTCCCCAGCACCTCACGGGTACAGTGATCTTGAAGCATGTGCCTAAGGTCCCTGGAAGATCCTGTAATGAGCTGGGCTAAGTCCAGGGCCTGCAGTTGCTACGGGTTCCTATGTCCTGGGACAAACAGGCAGGGGTGGCTCTCTTTTAGGCTAAGTTTTGCAGTCAGGAGGATTCTTGGACAGCTAAGCTGGAGGGTTGCTGGCCCAAACTCTGGTGCCTGACATTCAGGGCTCCTCGTGGCCTGGCTCCAGCCTTATGGCTACCCTCCCTTCTTCAGTCAGCCCAACCGGATGTGTTAAAGGACATGTGCTTAAAGTTGTCTCTGCTTCCAGCCCTTTGCTCACGTGACGTTGTGTCTGGATGCCCTTTTTTCTCATTTCTCTGCTGCGCCAATTCTTGAATATTCTCTAAACCATCTTTAAAATGTCACAATCTCCACAAAGGCTTCCTTTATTCATCCTCCAACTAGAAGTATCTCTTTCTCCTCTGAATTCCCACACACATTATCTGTCTACATCTCACTCATATCATTTACTACCTTTTAACTTGCATAGCAATCATCTCTCTTCACATGTTACCTTCCTTATAAATCTGAAAGGTACCAAAAATCTCAGAGTACAGGTCTTACATATGGTCATATTTGTAGCAGCTAGCCCAGTAACTCAATGGCTTTGAAACTGTCCTGCATACCCGAGAGTTCCAGGATGTACGGGTGGCAGGAAAAGAGAGTGGGCAGGGATAAGTAGAAAGACCTCCTTTCCCAAATCTGTGCTTCAGTCAGATTGGTTTTGATTTTAATTCTTTCATATATTGAGATTCATGTAAATGTTTACATATCTTTAAGGGATTCTGCTGGGGAAAGAAAAAAGGAAATCACTGCAATATTGTCAAATAAATGAACATGATTACACCCAGTGCCTCCAGCACTTTCTCCCTCAGATATAATGAAATCTCGTGATCAAAAATAAGTATCAAAGGTTTTGAATGGCTGTCAATCAAAGAACATGGTCAAAACCTAGGGCCCCTTTCTGTCTTGTATTTTTACATTAAAATTTGATAGAAGCCTCCTCAACCTCTGAGTGAGTTATGTTTAAGGACTTAACAGTACCATCCAGACACCTGTAGAGTGTGTGTGTATGTACATGTGAGGAGCATGCTCACTATGCTTTGCTTTCACTGTAACTTCAGGGACACAAAAGAGGGTTACAAGTGATGCTGATGCCTCTTGATACCCATTTGCCCCAAACCCCTTCAGTCTTCTCTATCACTGTAAATGGCATTAACATTTACTCTGTTGCTCACGCTAAGAATCTAGTAGCTACCCTTAATTTCTCTTTTTCACTCCTTACATCCAATTCAGCAGTAAATGCTACTATAAAGTCTACCTCTGAACATATTCTGAAGCAGCTCATTTCCCCTTGAAGTGTACCACTAGCCCCTGCTGCAGCCCACGGCATCATATCTCATACCTACCTTACTACAACAGGCCATCTGGTAGCTCCTGCTCTCAGCTTCCACCCTGCCCTCCTTTAACCCATTATCTAGGAACAGCAAAAGTCTAAAATTTTTAATGTTAAAATGTTTTCACTTCTCCTGTTAAAAACTCTCAATGTACTTCTCATTAAATGCAGAATAAAACTCTTAACTGGTAAAACATACCTTGCCTTTCTATTTCACTACAAAATTTAACATTTTGCTGGTTCTGATACTCTTTGCTTGGGGAGTTGCTTACTTTAAGAAAACCGTGAATGACTGAGCAAAAAGGCAGAAAAGACTGGCACCCCACTGAAAAATAGAAATAACTTACGGCTTCAGATTTGGGAGGCACTGGAGGTGGAGGTAGGGTGATATCTGAAGACTTCATTGTTGCTCCCAGAGCCCCAGGGACAGGAAGAGGAGAAGTTCCACATTTAGACCGGACAGAACTTCTGAAATTATCACATCTGCTCTTCTCACTCAGGGATCGAGTGAGAGGCTGGTGGCTGGTCTTGCCTTCATCCAGCCACAGCTCCTCATAAGGAAGTTCTGACTTCCCGGGAATGCCTACTGATTCTTCACTAGCTTCCGGGAAAAGGTAGTCACTTCCACTATCACCAAAGTCCTGGTAGGGCAGGATATCGTTAGGGAAGGGGGTCCACTCTCCCCCCAGGTCTCTGCAGCCATGGAGGTTCACTTCGCTGTTGCCATGGAGATTGTTGCCATACACACAGACAGAGAGCCGGTGGAAGGACTGGGTGAGCTCATCGCGGGCATAGCTAAGGGAATTGGGTACGTGGTTGTGGCCAGAGCACCGGCCTTTCTTGGGGCTCTTGCAGTCCTCATTCCAGTCAGTTTTCACATCACGGACAGCCCGTGAATACTCATCAATGTCAAACTGTTCTTGGCATATTCCCAGCCAGTGATGGACCAGGGTTTCGGGCCACACCTCACCCTTCACCAGGTGTTCTGGGAGGCTAAACTTGGGAACAGTCAAGTGCAAAGGGAAATGCATGGGGAGGATCTTGTTGTTCCGCAACACACAGCAAACCACCACCGTCTTGGTCTGGATGTTCACAAACTTGTAGCGGTGCCCCTCACGGATGAAGTGGAGGTCGTATGGGTTTCTCGGTGGGGGACTTGGCACGGTCACATTCACAGGCAGCCTGGTTTTCTCCACAATGTTGCGGATGGTGTGCTCACCTTCCTGCATCTGAAGTTCCAGGGGACTGCGGGTGCTGAATCTGCCCTTGCACTGGAATGGCAGGCTGATGCTTTCATTGGTCCGGTGGTTCATGCAGATAAGGCATGGCATTTTGCCTTTACCCAGCTTGCTGATGGAATTGAGCTTCCCAATCTTTTTGAAGATTGTGTTGAGTCTTGACTTTTCCTTGAAAGTCTTTGCATATAGGATTTCTGCCTGACCCATCAGAGTGAGTTCATCCCCAGTACAGAGGGTGATGTTGTAAACTTCAGTGTCTTCATTGCATTCACCTGACGCAACCTACAATGTGATAAATCAAATTTTAGGTTAATTTTCTCCTGTCTTTTCACACAAAGACATAAAGGGTTTGCTACTAAGACACAGACAGAGAAAAGTACTGTGTTTTGCTTGAACACCGAATTTAGACAACATTTCTTTTATAATATTCACATGGCTAATAATAAACAATTTTTGTCTGTTAGTTTGGATTTATAAAAACATGTTTTTCCTTGGAGACAAAAGTAATCTATATTCATCAATAAAAAACTGGGCAGTACAGAGGGAAAGCACAAAAAGAAAGCAACACCCATGACTCTGATTCAGAGACACTGCTGTTAACTGCTGTTGAGATGGCCATCAACTCACGGTGACCCCACGTACAATAGAATGAAACACTGCCCGGTCCTGTGCCACCCCCACGATCAGCTGTTGACTGCACACCATTGTGACACTAGGGTTCTCACTGGCTGATTTTCAGCAGTAGGTCACCAGGCCTTCCTTCCTGTCGTATCTCAGTCTGGAAGCTCTGCTGAAACCTGTTCAGCACCAAAGCAACGCACAAGTGTCCACTGAGAGGTGGGCAGTGGCTGTGTGTGAGGTGCCCTGGCTGGGAATCAAACCTGGGTTTCCTGCATGGAAACCAAGAACTGTACTGAGCCACCACTGCCCTTGGTTCAGAGACAGTCATGGGGAATGGCTCGGTAAACAGCCTTCCTGTCTTTATTAACATACATGGAGAGTAGTCTAGCCTATGCATAATTATTTTGGGAGATTTACAGTATCACTATTTTCCCCCCATGTCCTAAATAATGCTTTCATGAACACCACTGCAGAAAATTCTTTGATTTTGTTTTACTCAAACCAAAAACCAAACTCACTGCCGTTGAGTGGGAGCCGACTCACAGTGACCCCTCCTTGGGTTTCTGAGGCGCTATCACTACGGAAGTAGATTGCCCAATTTTCCTTCCAAGGAGTGGCTGGTGGGTTTGAAGCACCAGCCCTCTGGCTAGCAGTCAAATGCCTTAGCCACTATGCTATCAGAGCTCCTTATGTTTTACTAGGTTCCTTAAAATTAGAACTGAAACAAAGGATTTTTTAAAATTTTATTTCTTCCCTGTTCTTTTATTTCATTTTACAAATAGTTCAAGCTTGAGTATTAGAAATATCAACATTAGAAATATTAGTAGATATAACTAAAAATACTAGATAATAGATACAAAAATTTAAAAATTTCTACACAGTATTACTGTGAAATCTCTGCTAATGGTTTTGTATGAACAGAATGAAAAAAAAAGAAATGGGATCTATCAATCTATCTCAGAGATACTACATATACACCCACAATTTTGCTACCTAAGTTTCTAATTATAACTTAACCATCCATCTGCCCCTGTGTATTTACTCCATCCTCACAGATTCTGATGCTGAGCTTACATATTTCATTGTATATGGATGTTCCAATAATTTATTTGACCAGTTCCTTATAGTTAAACATATACGTTTTTCGAATGTTTAGCACTTATGAATAGTACTGAAATAAACTTTTATTTTATAGTTAAATTCTTTCTTTAGGGTAAAGTCTCAGAAATAAAACTTCATGGGCAAAAATTATGCATATATTTGAAGAATCTAATATATGCATTTCCCATTGTTCTTCATCAACTTATACATATTTATATTTCTACCAGGACTCTGTGAAAGTACCTGTCTTCCCAGACCCATGCATGCTAAGTGTATTTCATGTTTGCCCATGTGAAACGTAAAGCATTCATCCTGAATTTACTTATTCATGTTTTGTCTTGAATATCTTTGATCGTAGTATTAGTGATTTTTTTTTTTTTTTTGTATTTATCTATTTATTTAGATATCTTCTTTTATGAACTGCCTGTATCTGCCTTTTGCCCATTTCCTATTGGGATGGTTATTTTACTGATTTAATGAAATGTGAATGTCACTTATACTACTTATTTTCAACTTGTTGCTTGGATTTCAATTTTATAGTTTTATTTATGTATTCAAATTTATAACTTCTTTATAAGAACTAAAGAGCTTCTTTTCCTCTAGGTAGTCAATATTTTCAAAACTTTCCTGTTTGATTTCATTCTTGGGTGTTATGCTCCTTTCAGTTGAGATGATATAGATCAGTGGTTCTGAATCAAGAGCAATTTTGGCCCCCAAAGGATATGTAGCAATGCCTGGAGACACTTTGATTGTTATGAGTGGGGGTGCTACTCACATCTAATGGGTAGAGGCCAGGGATGTTGTTAAACAGGCTAAAATGCACAGGACAACCATCTAAAACAAAGAATTACTTAGTTCATTATCTCAGTAGTGCCGAAGTTGAGAAATCCTAATATAATTACCAGTATTTTCTTCTAGTCTTTTGATGGTTTCATTTACTAAATATGTAACTTATTTATATGAAAATTCTTTGGTGGCTTCTCCAAGATAGGGCTCTAACTTAAGGTTTTTTTTTTTTTTAAATACACTTTACTGAGTATCTGGTACATTTCCTAATAACCATCTCTTTCATTGATGACTTGAAATGCCACTTTTATCATTTATATGAAATTGATACCAAACACTCAAATATATTTTGGGGCCATTTAGTCTAGCGACTTGTCTATTTTTCCATTATAATTATATTGTTTTAATTACTAAATCTTTATCTTACATTTTCAGATCTGATAACCACAGCCCTCATTTGTGGTTATTCTGACTCAAAAGGTTTTGAATGACAAAAACCAGCAGAAGCAAAGTCAAATGACAGACTAAAATAAAGTATTTGCAACACATTATAGTTAAAGGGCTAATATCCCTGATGCATAAGCAACTTTTAAAAAAATGAAGACCAAAAATCCTACATAGAAATTGGCAAAAGACATGAAAAGCAAATTCACTGAAAAAGAAGAGCAATGGCCTTTAAACCTATAAAATGGTGGTCAACTTCATAGTAAGAGAAATGCAAATTAAAACTATCAAGATACCATATCTCACCTCACAGACTGGTAAAAATTCAAAAGCTTGACATTGCCCTCTTTCAGTTAGGCTGTAGGGAAATTTGTACTTTTGGGCATAGCTGGTGGGAATGGGAAATGATACAACCTCCATGGAAGGGAAATGAGCAATATCTAACCAAACAACATATGCATTTCTCCCTCGACATATTAATTCTACTTGTAGGAATTTACCCTGAAGACAGTCCTCTAACAATATAAATATCCACATGGTACAATGTTATTCATTGCAGTATTGTTTATATTTGCAAATTACAGAAAGTGATCAAAATGCCCAAACAGGAGATTGGCTAAATAAACAAACTATGGTGTACACAGATGTTATGATATTATGTGAAAAGAAAGACAACGATTCTAATGAGTTGGTCATTAGTGACTTCTAGAATAGATGGTTAAGTGAAAAAAGCAAAGTGGGAAAAAAAAGTTTATACAGTATCCTACCTTGCTGTGGGGAGCTCTGGTAGCATAGTGGCTAAGGCACTTGACTGCTAACCAGAAGGCTGGCAGTTCAAACCCACCAGCCACTCCCCGGAAGGAATATGGGGCAATCTACTTCTGTAGTGATACTGCCTCGGAAACCCAAGGAGGCGTCGCTATGAGTCGGGTCTGACTCGACAGCACATAACAACAACAACAACACCTTGCTGTGCAAGAAAGAAGGGAAAATTAGCATATAACTTTCTGGTAATTTTGTAGGAAAAAGAAACACAGGGAATATAAGCCAGAAAACAATGAAAATGAATACTTTCAGGAGGCAGGGTGGGAGGAATTGGGTGGAGGGGCCATGGAAGGGAGTGATACTTCTCTGAATATATCTTACTATAGAGGGTTGACTTTTTGTAGGCATGTTAATGTTCTACATATTCAAAAAATAAAATTAAGTCCACAAGAAGTTTTTTAAAAATGGAAACTGAATAAAAATGGAAGCAAATGAATCTAATTATATTTCAAATGAATAAAATAACCACACTGGGGACAGAGAAATAATGCAAGTAGCTTTGGAACACAGTAGTGTGACTATGTACTGTCAGTCTAAGTAAGGGAAAAATAACCACCACAACAAAAAATTGTGTTTTTAGTAGATTTGTTTTTCACAGGAGTATGAGTATAGGGACTCTGAAGCAACATTATTGTACTGTAGGATTCAGCAAATGAGCAAATGTGTTGAAATTTTCAGAGCCAGAGTTCTCACTAAGGAAGAAGAGAGAGAAATATGGAGTGGGAAATGCAAGAACCTTTTTAGGGTTTAATTGGAATTGGAGGTATTGGCCTTAATTTTTTAGAAAATTATAAACATACACACACACACTTCTTAGCCCTGCTCTTCCCAAGGGATTAAATGCAAAGACTCTTGGTAGCAAGGAACACATAGTGTCTGAACTTGGTTTTTAAATACCATTCCCCACTAAAAAGAACCAGGGCTCCTTGGAAGAACAGCTGATTCCAGGGCTAGGACAGGAAAGGGACAAGAGGAGCCTGGAACATCTTGTGCCAGAAAGTAAAGAAGTACTTGTAAGATGTGGGAGACTGGTCAAAAAGATACAGGAGCTGATCTGAACGGGCTCTCACTGGGCAAGTTTGTGGCAATTTGACCATTATAATCAAGGCAGTAACGAATAATCTACTGAATAAATTAGGAATCTGTGAACCCATACTTACAACAAAAGGATAAATGAATTAAAAAATGAATGAAGGATAAGCTGAGTAATAAATGTGGAGAAGTGGTTTGTTGTTGTTCTTATGTGTTGTCGAATCTGACTCGACTCATAGCAACCCCTCCTTGGGTTTCTGAGGCAGTATCACTATGGAAGTAGATTGCCCAATCTTCCTTCTGAGGAGTGGCTGATGGGAGAAGTGGTAGGACTAGAAAATCATAATTTTTAAACTATTACAGTAAAGATTGATTTACATAAGAATAAGCAATGGATATGAAGTTTATAGGAGGAAATTTGATTAAGGAGCTGGTTATTTGCATGGTTTTAGAATGTCTTCCCCCAGAATGCT